ATCTGAACATCTAAGTACAACATTGAGTTGTTCCACTCAGATTCAAGGGCGAAATAGATGTTTGCGTGGGCTGAATTAAATTGCCTCACTATTTCTTCTGTGCAAAGAGGACTATCTGAGATGCAGCATAAATCGTTCAGGTACCGTCCGTAGTAGACTAATTTGTCGATAACTCCGTTCAGATAATTGTTCTCTAACTTACAAATACGTCTGCCAACAATAGTCCTAAGAGAGAGCCCATTGCGACTCCGTCCTTCTGTCTGTAGATCTTCCCGTCGAACACAAACTGTACGTTCTTGCTACATATCAGAAGCAACAGTTTAAGTCGCTCGTTCGAGAGGCCGACATCCACATGCTGCAATCGAGCAGCATTGCATAGGTAGTCTATCGTCTCCTCCACCGGAACAATGGCGAAGAGTGACACTACATCCTTTCATTCCGGTTAACTGCATTTGGCTCATGGAGTCTACGAAGCTGAATGTGTCTCTGAGGCTGTGTTTGGATAGGGCTTTTCTGATCAGTTCTAGAAGCTTAGCGAGCTATTTCGCTGTTAAGTGATATGGAGAATCATACATGTCTAATATTGGCCTCAGTGGAAGTCCTTCTTTATGCATTTTCGGTAAGATATAAAGACGTGGAATCCCTGTCCCGGAGTAATGCGTGTATTCGAACACCACTGAGTCAATCGCATTCTCTTGCTTCAGACAGCGTAGTAGCTTTGGGACTATCTTTTCTATCGAAGCCGTCTTGTCTTTCTCTTTCTCCATCATCCGGAATTTTAAATGATCGCTGAGGATGGTATTCAGCTTAGTGATATAGTCAGAGTTATCCATAAGGACGATCACTGCTCCTTCATCCGGCTTAGAGATCAGCACATTCTCGTTCCGTTTAAGCGCTTTCAGAGCGTCCACATGCGCTTTCGTCAACAAATACCTGATCTTAGGTTTGCACTTCAGGTGCTGATAGCATGTATTCACCAAGGTGGACTTCAAATGTTCAGCAGCTAACGCAGACGAGGGTGTAAGCATAGATAGTTGGGAATGTGCATTTGTCAAACTGGACTTCTAGTTCTAGCTGACTGGTATTAGTACAAGGATAACAAGATTTCGGACCGAGGGAAAGTGCCCTAAGTAGTGTGTTATCCAGATGTAAAGAGAAAAATTGTGGACATACCTTTCCAGGTCAGATGGAAACAGGGTATTTGCCTTAGTCGTACCAATCTGTTGATCCACTGTAATTAGTCGTCCATTAACTTGTTTTGCAACTACACGCTGAACAAATGCTTCGAGTGGCATGAGTGCCTCCGCATCCACATGGCCCAGCATAAGAGAGTAAATGCACTACGTTACAAATAATCAAGTCTAGAGGTAACATGATCACGTTCGTTTAATGTATAATGCTTCGGTGCAGATCAGTGGGATTAATCCTATTTCGTCTGAGTATTTTCCAAAAACGTTCCGGATATTCACAATACAAAATACAACCATCAAAGAACTGAACCGTGGCATTTGCTACCACAAGTTTTGTACGGAACTTAACGAACTGGTAAGGCCCTTTAAGCACAATAAGATCCTTGGTCTGCTTCAACTGATAAAATATCCCGGAAGTAGACATCAGTACAAATGTTAGCAAAAAGGATCGTTTTCAGTGGTTCCTCATTAGGCTAATACACCACAAATGAATGACAAGTACGCAAATATCAGGTAAACTGGTTTCGGTAGGGAAAAAACCGATCTACTTATCGTTACCTTTCAAGATGGCGGGATAGCTGAATCGACGTCTAGAAAGCTTTCTGATTTCATCGCTCAAACATACTATGCAGCCAGCCCACGGCTAAGCTTCTACTCAGTGCCGACCCTGAATCAACAACTTAAGGATAGAATTCCAAGGCCAACTACTTCCTGGGTGTACTCTTTCTCTTGCTCGTGCCAATCAAGATATATGGGAAGAACAACCAGGATAGTGGCTGAGAGAGGCAGGGAACACTGTCCAGCATCGCTGTATGGCGGCGTGACTGGATCAGTGGCAAGCGCAGTGTCTGCACACCTGGTCGATTCGAACCACCAGGTCAGAGCGCATGAGGCGTTCCGGCCAATCTATGGCGTACCCAGATGCCGCACAAGAGCGGTTAGATGTCGTCTACTGGCAGCGGCAGAGGCAATCTCCATCAGGCTTCATGATCCTGTCCTATGTGCGCACAAGAAATTTGTCCAGGCACTAACTCTACCGTGGTCCCCTGTAACACGGACACATATTGTAGACAACGCCACACACACACACACACGCTGTTGATCACCGTGGGGCCAACCACCTAGGTTAGTCACTTAGACCATCTGAGTTTTGAACGTGTACCAGTGGCGTGACAACTACACCATTTCCCAGTCAAGTTGTCCTCTTGGGCAACAGAAATAATCTGAAGGGGCATTCGACATGAGTCGACTCAATTAATTTGTTTCGCGCGTAGGAGCTGAAGCGTCCCACCTGCATCCCTATGACTTAATGCGTCTGAGGTACAATTGGCTGAAGACGACAGGCTATATACGCACACCTCCGCAAGTGACTGGCCTACGCACGGAACAAATTAATTGAGTAGACTCATGTTGAATGCCCCCTCAGATTATTTCTGTTGTCCAAGAGGACAACTTGGCCGGGAAATGGTATAGTTTTGCCGCGTGGGACGGTGGTAAAAATTTCGCCCTGAATCTAGGCTGTACATGCGGGTGGTGGCAACCCAATCAGTTCGTGGTAAAGTGCAAAGTAGTCTTTGAGAAAATGGATTGTCGTTTTTGACACCGAGATGAATGTGGTGAAGGTGACCACAAAGGACATGTAAAAGGATCGCCGGGGAAAACGTTTGCACTCTTGTGACACATGGCGCAAACGAGTTGTTAGCCATGCAGAGTAACATCAAAATCTTTAATCCTCAACTTATCCAGAGATTGTGTCCTTTATGTTTGGTATCGAACACTAGCCGGTACTAAAAACGAGGCCCCGTCACATGCAGCCGGAGGCGAACCGTTCCGCCCTTGCTACGCAACCGACCTATACCTTTATCTGATGTTTACGTTCATGTCATTCATTTGTGATGATGAACCACTGAAAACGAGCTAGTTCGCTAACATTTGTTCTGATGTCAACTCCCGGGATATTTTATCAGTCAAAAGGTGATGCAAAACCTTGGACTGAAGGGTCTAAGTTTCAGCTCCATTAAGTAGGACATCATCACTTTGGATCTTTAGATAGAAGAAATTCCTATCTGATGTCAAAGGTGGTTCTAGATTTTGCAATATGTGAACTGATTTTAACGATCACACGCCAGACATTGCTGCTGCAGCTCCCAAGATAGGTTTGTCGAACAACCACTTCTGGTTCTCTGTCGTCAAGAGTTTAGAGTTGCTGGTGGCCCTGTGACAACACTGCAAATTCAAGGTGCGGAGCGCCAACCGAATGGTGGGATAACTTGACAGAATTGATCTAGGGTTGACAGTGCTGCCTAGCGACTCAAACATAAAGATGATGTTACCCAACTAATTCAGAAAAACAATTTTCCACCAGAAAGGACCTTAAGACCTTCATCGTGATTCCGCAAGAGTGTGTTTTAGGATGAAATGCAAGAAAAAGTTGAATAAAAATGGAGAAATGGGACAACCCTGATGAACGATATCTGCTGCTTGAAAGATGTCTATTCGCCATAGAGTGACGCGAACTGTGTTGCCTGAGTACAGTGCACGTAGAATGCTCAGATATTATATGGGAACACCCCTACAAGCAAGTATGTCGAAGAGAATGCAGCAAGAGACTTGGACGGACTCCCGAAATAGTGGAGCACAGCTATCATCGGTCTGCGATATGTAGGACGCCCTACCAATAACTACCGAAAAGTGAACATGTGGTCTATACAGCCACGTCCTAGAAAGAAACCTGTCTGCTCTTCCCTAATCCGAGATTCCCGTTCCGCAGTGAAGCATCGAATGAAAATTGTGGAGGACAGTCTTGTCACCACCGGCGTCGGTATGACACCCCCCAGTTGTCAGCACAATCGGTACGGATACCCTTTTCATATACTGCCACTATGATCTTTGGCTGAATCCTGTTTCTTTTCCATACCTGTTGGAACAGGGATGTCAGTGCTTTTTAGAAAATCTCACCTCCGTCCTTAAATAGTGCAGATGTAAAAACCGGAACAGCAGTTCGAAAACGATTGAGGGCTGTGATCGCTTTTCGGAACTCAGCCTTTAAAGGAGTCTGTAAAATGATCAGCCAAGGGAAAGCCTGTGACACTTGAGAGTGAACAGGCGCAAAAGTAAGGCGTCAGAAGAACTGCCTTCGTAAGTGTCCCGTGAAACGGGGCAGACGGCACTTTGTATGAGGCAGTACATCTGTGCTGTCCTTGATTGTCTCACTAATACAGAATTTCCCGGGGCTAGTGATGCAGATTAGTTGAAAGTGTTTGCGGTAAATGGCCACTGCTACTCCTTTCTCCATTTATTGAATACTGCTGATTCATCAAGCAGGCTCCGTTTCAGCTCGCATCTAATGGCCCATCTGGTCACACGGTGTTAGAGCCAGCAGGGAGTTTACCAACGAATTAAAACAGCCTCACATAGCTAGAGGATATCCAGTGCCTGGTATGATTCCACGTGACAGTGCAGCAAGCTGAGACTCCCGCGTCGTACCTGTTGATCTGGGTATTATCCAACACCACGCAAAATCAGAGAACCTGGTGGAAGACCATAGCCACCAAGAACAGCCCCGCCTGAAGGGATCCGAGCACACACCACCAAGGCAGTAGGTCTTTGAAGTAAAGCCACACTAAATGAACACGACAAAACTTTTCGAAACCAAGCTCCCCATTCCCTTATCTAACACCACTCAATCAAATGTGGAAGCTTGTGGAGGTAGGACTTAAAAAAGCAACTCTTTCATGAAGCATGCAAGGTCTGATGAAGAAAGTAACATGGAATTAAAATATGCACTTGGTTAAAAAGAAACACACCTACATTAAGAACTGCATGAAAACAGCGATTCCATTATCCCAGCGCCATATTCCTTTATCTGAGGATACCATGAAACTGAAGGAACAAACATACTCTCTGCATAACTTTCTCCGGGTACGCATTGCCGTAGAGCTCAACATTGATAAAACAATTTGATAAACATTCCAGACGTTCAAGATCGAGTTTGGTAACATTACGAACCAAAAATGCCCGCCGTACGCGCCATTCAGTAGGATTCTCGTGGCGCTTCCGAAGTCTTTCCACGTCCGGCATGGCAGCTAACCGCTGTAAGGAGCAAATTACCTGATGTGTGAAAAGTTCAAAGCCGCAAATAAACACGGAACAACAACATACAAAAACAACAGCAGGACACCAGCCATTTGAACTGATGCTTCACTGCCATACAACCATGAGGACCTATGAAATAAAGAATAAGTAAAGGGATAGAAAAAGAGCTTGCCTGAAAACCTTAATGTCCTAAGCAAACATTCAGGGTCACGGCACCTACATCTTGTGTAAACATACAGCTCGTCATGGTAAAAAAAATAGACGGCATCCGCGAGACAGCTTCCTTGCGGCTTTCATTGCCCCATATCATAATCAGTCAGTAGCTAACAGGTAACACACCACTGAGCACAATCTAAACCGCCAGTCCGACTAGGAGACAGCAGCAGACGTGCCACTGGTGTCAGTTGCGAGCCATGTCCTGTAAAGTCTCGAGCCAAGCACAAGGCGAGTCATGTGGACTCCAGCCTGGAAGGCGACAAGGACCAACAGCACCCAGATTGGTCGTCAGTGACTTCATTTCCTGCTGCCAAGTAAATTTCTGTCCACCTCGAGCCTTGCGCCACCCTACACCTGGTAGACTGAACAAGGTCCTCCTAGGTAAGCGGTGACCAGGCATACGTAGCACGTGCCCGAGCCAACACAACTTATTCAGTGCTATCTGTTGTTCTGGGGAGATAGCATGATTATCACCATTTGCCTACGCACATCATCGTTGCGGACACGCTGGTGTCATCCGACACCAGCAATGCTTCGCAGACAACGATGATCAGAAACTTGAAGACGCCTCAGAGCTTCAGACTGAAGAGGGCTAAGTCTCACTACCATAGAGCAGAACGGCACTCACTGTGGCATAATATACATGGCCTTCCAGACGGAGAGAAAATCACTTCTGTCGTCAAAGATGAAGCAAGTTAAAGAAGGCAGTTCTGGCCTTTGCAATGCGCGAGCTGACGTCGGCTTCTATGCGCCCATCATTGCTGATGCAGCTGCCAAGATAAGTGAATGGATCAATCACCTCGAGTTCCTCGTTAGCAAGGGCCAAGGGGTTATAAAGTGGCTGGTGGTACCGCAGCAACACTTTGCACTTTGAAGGTGCGAAGTGCATACCAAATAATGGGACCACTCTGGACAGGCTATTCAGGGTTGATTGTGCCGCCGCAACATGGTCGAAAAGCAAGACGATATCGTCCGCATAATCTAGGTCAACTAATCTTTCACCAGGCAGCACTTCAACGCCAGTAATTTTGTCACAACTGGTGTTAGCCCAATACCCGTGTGGTCAGCGCAGTCGGTGCAACTTCCATTCTTGCTTATTGCCACTATAACCGATTCACTCCAGTTAGTCGGGGCAGTCTCCTCCTTGTAGACAAGTCCGAACAGGGAAGGCAGTGCTAGCAACGGATCTTACGTCTAACCCTATATAGTGTAGGTGCGGGGGGGGAGGGCAAGGATCGCGTTTCGCACCTTAGCCTCCGATAGAGCCTCTGAACTAACCGGCCACGGCTTGTTCTGCATCACCTGAGTATGAGAAGGTCCAGGAGCAGGGGGCCAGCTGAACTGATCTTGAAAGTGTTCCGCCCAGCGAGTCATACGGCGCTCCTTATTGCCTATCAGTGCACCCGTGCTGTCTCTATTTGTCTCATGGACGCCAGATTTCCTGGGACCAGTGGTCCGGATCAGTTGGAAGAACTTGCGGTAATTGCCTACTGCCCCCGCCTCGTTTATTTTTGGAGCCCTATTAGTCTACCAGGCTTTCTTGTCAGCACGCAGGCTCCGCTTTATTTGGCGCCTTATAGTCCGTCTTGTCATTTGTGATCAGAGCCAGCCGGGAGTTTTCTTCTAGATTCCAATAGGTTCAGCGAGCTCTCGGATATCCAGTGACAGGTGCGGTAACCACTGATAGTGCCACAAGCAGATGCTCCTGCGTCGTACATGGCAGCCGAGATCCCACTCCACTGAAGCTCATTGTCATTGGACAAGACAGCGAAAGTTAGGTACGCAGTGCATCTTGATAGGTCTACCCGACCAAGGGCTGAGACAATTTTTCAGCTGCCGATCGAAGGAGGTGCTTGGTGAGCCTCCCGGTAAAATTCATGAAAAAATGAGTGTACCAAGGAATGAACAGAGCTGACGCAGGTATTCCAGTACGAGAGGCAATCCAGTATGGAACCACGGCACCTGTAACTTATGGCAATGTGATCAATTTGGGTCCATCGCTGGCCAGCTACAGAACGCCAAGTGGCACTTCGGCGCCCACCGTGTCTAAAAGCGGTGTTACTAAGAAACAACTGGTGCTTCGCGCATAGTTGAAACAGACCCTCGCAGTTGCCTGTACAGTTGGAGTTAAGCCCATAAGAACCACCTGGCTGAGCTTTAGAAGAGCTCATACGATCTACTTGTGCGTTCATACCTCCTGCAAACATTACGTAGCGCGTTCAGTTCGTGATAGAATGTCCTTGGAAGCATCAGAACTGCAGTCGGTGGGAGCATAAGCGGAAATCACAAACAAACAGCGTTTTGTACTACTTTGTGAATCCACCCTAGTTGTTATCGTCAAGCGGCTGTTCACGGGAATCCAATCAACCAACGATGACAGTCTTGGAGATGAGAATGATACCTACCCCAGCTTGACCCGTGAGTGCTGCATCAGTGTCTTCAGATGCGTGCAACCAATAGCGAGAGGACAAGCCAGGCGCAGTCAATTCAACAACCCTATTAGGGACATTGATCCTAGTTTCGGACATACAACGCACATAAATACTCAGTTTGCCCAACGTGAGTGCGAGTGCAGCCAGTTGATCTATTTGTCTTAGAGTACGAATGTTGAACGCCGTCAGGGAAACGGGACAACGTGGCTGTATAAGGGACTGTCGCCGATAGGCGTTCGGTGGATGTTACGGGAAGGTGGTTGCAGATGCTGTGACTCCAGTGGCACTTCGGTTGCTGCCAATTAAACTGGGAATTATAGGAGGTTAGTAATGGAGAACGGGATGTGAATAAGAGAAACAGGTAGTAAAGAAAGAAGGGAGGCGCCAGCAGTAGCATGTTTTCGCTTATCCGCCTTGCTGTATGCAGCAGATAAGCCGACCCTTGAGTTGCGCGACGGTTGAGGAAGTAGTCATGGTTTTATGTGGGCTGAGATACTACCAGCGCGCCCAGACCTAGACAGGAGGACGATTAGGGTCCTCAACCAAAGCCTCTTTCTCAGAAGCTTGTTTGCAAGGCAGCGGGGAGGTGGAAATGATTTAGTTTTAGAGAAACGGAAGACATCCCATTTTAAACCTTCAACTTGGAGGACCAGCAAACTGAGTTTGGCTGACCTCTAACCATTGACCAATCTGGTAAGACTAGCCTTCAAGAGGTTCGGAGTCACCACCCATTATAGCTCAATGAGTATGCAAACCGTCGCACAACGTTAAGGTTGTCTCGTTGTGACGGATAAACAAGAATCGAACGCAAGCAATAAAAAGGCTGTTAATCATTAGAACGGAACGACAACGGGAACGCTGTAAAAGTGAAAAAAGTTGCAGGCCTGACAAAATGTCCGGAGGCCTTGAAAACGCTGGTATATCTGGCGTGCGGAGTATTCAGGGTTTGTGCAACTATTCGGATACGAGCAGCTTGACGATCTTACCTCTTAGTGTGAGGAAGTCTTCTGTAAATGACGACCCGTCGGACGGTCTGTTTGACTCCGTACAAAATAAGGACGATTTGCAAACTCTTGTGGGAAGTAGGTGAAAAAAGTGTAAGCGAGGGGGACGCGGCGTGTACGGTAAGTCTGTTGAGTACAACACCATCGGAACTGAGCGCTGTAGTCGTTCCACAAGCTCCGTCTTGTACAGACACCAAGTCCAAACAGATGCATGTGTCCCCATCTCGTGGTTCTGTTACACGCGCTGTAAACATCCCACATCGGAGCAACCTGTATATAGTTAGTAGCGTAAACTTGGAAAATGTCATTGCATCTTCTTCCACAGTTCCCAAGGAAAGAATGTTAGATGATTTCAAATGGTTTAAAAACTGCGTTACTAGACTCCTCCTGCCTGGATTTCCAGAAGTGACCGTGCATAAACTAGCCAGACATGGAGGCGTGCCAGTCAGTATGCCCAACCCTAGGCCTCACTTTCTACAAGCGATTCTTTCTACTCGGGAGAAGAGCTAAGCGCTTATGTGATTTGCTTTAAAGCCAAATGGTGCTGTGGTCAGCATACAGCCGGATGTTTCTCTAGGAGATAGGGTGAAACGGAAGGCAGCTATCCAAGGCCTCAAGTCAAGTGGCATTGCGGGCGAAAGTGGTCTGCGGTTGGTTTTCGGGTGGTGCGCTGGCGGTCCATATCCACCATGCCATTGGAACATTGTATTTAATGGGAATAAAAGCTTAAGCTTTACATGACCCATAGGGTAAAGAGTTCGGGTCGGGTCTAATGAAAGGCCAAGCAACCTTATAGCGGGTTGGACTCGCGTGTTAGCCGTATCTTCATCGGGCTTATGTGGCATTTAAACAGAATGCACGCCGGCTCAAGTTCAAGTTCAGTTCAGTTTGGGACCGGAACGATAGGATAATCCCGTGAATGTTCCTTCTTTTGCGTATCGTTGGATCGGGAATTGACAGATCTGCTTGAGATGTTGAAAAGCCTAAAACAAAGACCGTATCACACCCTGTCCAACCAATTACTGCCCACATTTTCCTGCCCAGCAGTCCCTGCCGGGCCGGTTTATGTGAAGTAAGAGTGAAGGGTAAGTTAAGAAAAGAAAAGGAGGAATGTCAGCTAAATAATGATAA